CATTTTATCTAAGTACATCTTATGTTATATAAGCATTCTCACTTTCTAGCTGTGGTAATGTCACTTCCCTACTCAAAAAGGAAAAAAAAAATCCAGTGCCTATAAAATAAAACCAACCTCTTTACCCAAATTCTGATCCTGTCATGTTTTTGCATCTTCACATTCCAAGACTGACTTTATATACTTTCAGTTCAAATTAATCAATGTGCCTCCCACACATCCAGCAATTACCTGCCTTTGCATGTTTAGTTTATGCCCTTTACCTGGCATACCTTTACCTGCACCTTTGTCCACACTCCAAAAGCAGACTGCAAAAATGCCAGCCATCTGTTAAAATTCAGTACACTCACTAATTCATTTCTATCAGCTTGCTGCTTCCGTCCTTGCCTTGTATGCTGGCAACTAACACCTTGCGATGTTCGATTTTATGTGTCAGCTGCATTAGGCACAGTTTTTGGTCAAACACCAATCTGGATGTTGCCATGAATTTATTTTTTAGATATTTTTAACATTTAAATCAGTAGAATTTGAAGAAAGTTGATTACCCTCCATAATGTGGGTGAGTCTCATCTAATCAGTTGAAGACCTTACAAGAAAAGGCTGAGGCTCTGCAAGGAACAAGGAATTCTGCTTCCTCATGTCCTTTGGACTTCAGACTGTAGCAACAATTCTTCTCTGGGCCTCCAGCCTGCCAGTCTGTCTTGCTGATTTCAGACATGCTATGTATACTGCCGTTCGTCTGTACACACACAAACACACACACACACACACACACACACACACACACACACACACACACACACACACCCTGTTGATTCTGTTTCTCTGGGAAATGCTGATTAATAAAAATAAGTCATTTTTCTTGGTACCTTTCTCATATCACATCATTTCTTCTATATTCATTGTATTAGACTATTATCATCCTGTTAGCGGGATGTACCTGAGACTGTACTGTAATTTGTAAAGGACAAAAGTTTAATGGACTCACTGTTCCACATGGCTGAGGAGGTCTCACAATCATGGTGGAAGACAAAGCAGAAGCAGAGGCATGCCTTACATGGTGGCAGACAAGAGAGCTTGTGCAGGGGAATGCCCATTTATAAAACCATCAGATCTTATGAGACTTATTTACTACCATGAGAACAGTATGAGGGAAACCACCCCTATGATTCAATTATCTCCACCTTTTTGCTCCACCCTTGACACCTGGAGATTATTATAATTCAAGGTGTGATTTGGATGGGGACACAGTCAAGCCATATCATTTACCCTTGTCCTGTCCTTTCTGCCCATATTCAATTCCCAGTCTCACAGTAGGTCTAAAATGAGTGTCACTCTCTAAGTGGATGCTTCTCACACAGCCATGACCAGGGCATATCCTTCCATTACATGCTACCAAAGTACCTAGGACCTGCCACTACAGGACATTCATCATAGTTGTAATTTCATAGTTGTAAGATGGTTTTGTTAATGTCTGCTTTCTCTAGTACACTGTAAGATCTACAAGGGGGATTGGTCCATATCTGATTTTTTAGAACTGTATCTGCCATGTAATAGGTGCTATATATCTTTGTGTGTATGTATGTAATAATGAACCCTTAATTGGCATATATATATTTATTTCCTTTATAAAACAATATGCTTTATGAGTTCCATATTCATGTCTGATTTATCTCCAGTCCTGGTAACATACTGTGTTTTCACACAGTATCTTTTACCAAGTAGGACTGGTTAAGAAATATAAAAAATGGCTGAGTGCTGTGGCTCATGCCTGTAATCCTAGCACTTTGGGAGGCCAAGATAAGTGGATCACCTGAGGTCAGGAGTTCAAGACCAGCCTGGCCATCATGGCGAAATCCCACCTTTAGAAAAAAAAAAAATCTAAAAATTAGAAAGTAGTTATTACGTGCCATGTACTGTTGTGGGTATCCATTAAGGTAGGCATTAAATAAATACTTGGTAATGTAAATATTTTAGATCTAAATACTTAAATACTTAGATGAATGGAGGATTATCACTTAAGGCTTTGATTTGACATTAGGTTCTGAAGTAGAAGGTGGTGTCACACTACTTGTAGAGATGATGATTGAATTATTCATTAAAGGTCATCCTTATGGGGAAGAAGAACATGTTTGTCAGCCTTCAATCAACTCAACAGTGAAGAGGTTAAAGGCATTCTCTACACACTCATAACAAACCTTAGTATTTCCAAATTATTCATGAAAATTTCACCCCAAAACATGAAGACAGGAGAGAGAGTTTTTCAAGAAGGTACTAATGGTCAGCAGAGATGAATCCTGCTGAAGAAATACACGAAAGAACTGGAAAATGTTCTTTAAATTCAGTGAACTGAAAGATACAGATGACTTTGGGAAGACCTGTATTGGCCCAGGCATGGAACTTGAAATCAGGTTGGGATGGGAGGTGGAAGGGAGTGCAGGAGGGGCCTAGACTATATATATACATTTTTTAGTAATGTAGGAGTGAAGAATGAGAATATGTGTTAGTTGGAAAAAAAATGAAGTTCTTTGTGGGGCTTTCCTGATGCTTTGGTTTTAATTAGAACCACCACAGAGAGTTTAATTGTTCCTGTGCAGTGAGGGATGGGGAGTAGGTTTTGGCTTATGTACCGGGAGGTTCTGGCTTATGTACCACTTTGCAACATGGGATATAATAAGATAGGTTGTCAGAAATATGTCAGTGGAAATATGTTGAAGTTCAACCTAGGAAATCCATAATCTAACATAATTTTGTGACGTTTTCACAAAGGTGAGGAAACATTTTGAGAAGCTATGTGTAAATGTTCTTTGTTTATATTTATTTTATTTATTTTTTGCTCACAATCGCCAGGCCACAAGATAAAGCTGACATTTTGGTGAATTAATCAGTGTGTATACCTCTCAAAAGGCACCAGAATTTAAAGCATGGCTTCAATACGTTTGCTCAATATGCACAAGCAAGTTTAAGATAATAGGAGAGAAGCAGATACACTTTGTAAATCTCTTGAAATCTCTCTATAAATGAAAGGGATGGTCTCAAAATATCATTATCATGAAGAAATTGAGTGGTTGAGCAGTTAATCCAGCTAAAAAGGACATGTCAGCAGAATCTGCACAATAAATTGCATAGTAACCGTATCATCATCTGAAATTGAACTATAGAACATTGCAGTGTTTGCCCCAAGAACAAATAGAGTTGAAATTTTAAAGAAGGAAATCATAATTGATAAAAGACTATATTGTCACGCTTATCACTGTTTTATTTTGTGAAAAATCTTTAGAGTCTTATTTTTGCCCACAAATAAATGCCAGATATTGAATTCAAATAACTTTAAGATTTATGAAGCTGCTTCTGCTCAATTTCATGCAGTTGTTACACTCCCTTAGATAATGTCAAAGTGCTATTTTCATGAGAAACCTGAGTCTAACACTTCAATTAAAAAAGGTAAACAATGTTATAAAGATGTGAATTTAGAAAGCCCCCATCTGATTTTCTTTCATATTTTTATCATTTTCACTTTCTATCAAAAATAATCCAAAAACATTCTTGAATGGTGAACTTATATTTTCTGGAAAATAAATTTTCACGAGTCCTAACATTAATGAAATACTGTCGATATCAAATATAAAATATATTTATGAAGAAAAAAATGGACATGATGCAGTAAGAATTATTTGTTAGTACTCATATTCTGAAAGCTATGGTTTTATAACACTTTTATGTAAATTTAATTTTAATTTATTTATTCATTCATTTTTTTTTTGAGATAGGGTATCACTCTGTCACCCAGGCTGAAGTGCAGTAGCAGGATCATGGCTCACAGCAACTAGGAACTCCTGGGCTCAATCGATCCTCCACACCTCAGCCTCCCTAGCACCTAGGACTACAGGCACAAAACACTACACCCAGATGCACTTTTGAAAATGTTAAAATTTTGAACCATTCCAAAGTAATATGTAGTATTTATCTTTTCAGGTTATTGTAGTTAACTGGATGTGACACAGGGCAAAGAAACTGTCATATCTACTTGAACTCTTATAGTTAAAACTCCCAGCTTAAATCAGAAAATGTCCCATTGTAAGTCATCCAAGTTAAGTATAAATTCAAACCACTCTATAAAAGGTATAAAGGAAAAGATTAAAATTTTACCTTTGTTTAAACTTTTATGCCAACATATAATTTTATTTTTAAATCCCTCCAATCCACCTGTCAATGAGGATCATTCTCATAGAATGAGTAAATAGTTGAATGCCAATACCTTTTGAATGTTTTTAGTTGTTTATATGGTATACATTTTTCAATTAAAAATAATGACAAATGCAAACATTTTCTTTTAAAACACATGTTTCATTGAAATATTATAGAATTATACTTCTTTCTGTGAATTGCAGAATAAAATTGAGTGGCTTGGACTTTAAGAAAATATTAATGAGTACATGAAAAGTGATGCAAGACAGAGTAAACTATAAAATGTTTCAAATTGGTTGCCGGTTTACTCCAATGACAGCTTCTTTTGCTGTGCAGAAACTCTTATGTTTAATTAGATCCCATTTGTCTATTTTGGCTTTTGTTGCCATCGCTTTTGGTGTTTTAGGCATGAAGTTCTTGCCCATTCCTATGTCCTAAATGGTATTGCCTAGGTTTTTTTCTAGGGTTTTTATGGTGTTAGGTCTTATGTTTAAATCTTTAATCCATCTGGAGTTAATTTTTGTATAAGGTGTAAAGGAGGGATCTAGTTTCAGCTTTCTTCATATGGCTAGCCAGTTTTCCCAACACCATTTATTAAATAGAG